TCTTGAGGCTAACAAGGATGGAAAGCAACATAGCCGTTTGCAGCCTTCAGCATTTGCAGATGTTCTTGAATAACTCCCCTGGCTCACCAGCCCATTCAGCATGGAGAGCTAACAGCTTGTTTCTCTAGCTCCTGTGCACTCATTCAATGGCACCTTTGTCCCACGAAAGCAGCAGTCTCTGACTTGTTTCATTTTGCTTGTCTTGCTTTAACCTCATTCAGTCCTCACAAAGCCACCAGACAGCTCTGTCAAACAAATCTTGCCCTTGAAGAGGAGTAACAAGGGCAAGAAAACTAACTCAGGTTTATGGCTTGAGCTTTATTAATTGTGTCTGCCTGTGTTAGGGAGGACTTGATTCTGTGGCCCAGATGGGTCCTGTCTGGACCTATGGTCCTAAGTTAATGGAAAAGCTTGGATAGTAGAGCAAGGTACAACACAAAGGGAGGTTAAAATGCTTTGGCATGTTTTGTGGGCTTCCCTCCATCTTGCTTGCCAATTGTGTTCCGTTACTCACTTGTCCTCCACCTTTTTCCTCTCATTTGTTAAATTATCTCTTGCCTGCATCTCCTTATTCTTTCCCATTTGATGTTTGTTAAGCCAGTAATTACTTTTAATTCAGTGTTTATGAACTGCGGCTGGTATTTATAAACCTTGGTGCCAGCAGTTCGACAGTTGTTCTTAGATGTCCAAGAGAAAGTCAAAGCTGTTGACATAAGTAGGAGTCATGAACTCTTAATGTATAAAAATCCTGTGCTGCAGTTTGCACACTACAGTGAGTGGTGAGGAGGAGATATCTGTTAGGCTTTTGGCCAGTCGATTATTCACATGGCTCATTTCAGGGAGGAGACTAGCTTTAAAGGCTGTTTTCTCCATAGCAGCTGCAGTCATGCTGATGAGAAAACAGGGCAGTTTACACCAGCTGGCAGCAGTGAAGTTCAACCTCCTGGTTAGTCACCTCAGCTCTCCAGCACCTTGGCCACCCAAGTCTGCAAGCTGAAAAGAGATGGCAAATGGTGAGGGAGGCAAAAAAGGATGTATATGTGGGCCAGCATTAAAAAATAAGGGAATAATCCCTAGATCATTGTCTTATTTCATAACAATCTTTAGTTAGGTTCATTGCAAAATTATTGCAAAAAATGTTCTTGAATTGCCAGCTTTTGAATTTGCCCACTGATACATTTCCATTCCTCACCTTTTGTCCTCACCATGCTCATGTGTTGCAGCACCTTGTGGTGTGCTCAGACATTGGTGTCTGACGGGGTAAACCATGCCCAGTGGGCCAGATCATCCCTAGGTGCAAAAGTATAACAGCCATTGGCAACTTCGTGACTGTGTTAGGAGTATACAGAGTAGGACTTACCTTGCCAAGCAGAAACAAAAAGAAGGTAATTGAGAGTTTTCATCCTAGCATATCCCTCTAGTAATCTAGAACCTATATCATATGTCATAGGAGTCTCAATAATATCTTAAGAGCTGGCAATTTGCAATAATAACGAAACAACATGTCTTATAAGGAGCAAAAGTATGCATGATTTTTCATGTATATTTTTACACACCTCTTTTTATGCAGGTGCATTCACACTTAAGTGATCAGAATTGGCGTGTAAAAACAGTATTACAGACTAAATTATGTAACAACTTTCAGGATTTCAAGTTAGGGTTAGGATCATTAGGCTTAAGAAAGTTTCTGAGCTAGCTGCTTAAAACTTCTGCTGTAGTTCAGGTCAGGTGAAAGCACTATTAAAGTGTCATGTGCATGGTTTCCTGTTAGAATTTTTCATTTTGGTGACAAGCATTAGCTTTCACAAATGCATCACCTGTAGCACATTTAGATATTGAGCAGATACAAACATAACTTTTTGTAATGAGATTCACTTTAGGAAAAAAACCACTTTGCTCAGAGTGTAGTGAGGCACTGTAACAGACTGTCCAAAGAAGTTGTGGATGCCCCATCCCTGGGCGTGTTCAAGGCCTGGTTGAATGTGGCCCTGAGGAACATGGTCTAATGGAAGGTACCCCTGCCTGTGGCAGGGGGGTTGGAACTAGATGATGGTGAAGGTTCCTTCAAACCCAAACCATTCTATGATTCTGTGAAAAAGTGAAGTAATAAAATAAGTAATAATAATCTCATGGTTTTAAGAAAGAACATTACAGAACAAGGCAGAAGTAGCACTTCTTTCCAGATAATTTTCTAGGACTAAGTCAGCTGACTCAATGGTTCAATTGCTCTTAAATACTAGATCATCCCTGAAGCGCAGGTACACATTCAGTATCACCGTGTCTAAGTCATGATTTTAAGAAGCACAGTCAGAATGGTGCTCATTCTGCCAAAAGCAAATGTTTTGAACAATTTCTAAGTTGCTGTGTGTTTGTCTCATGTAGGTCCTTGTTCATTGTCAACAGTCTTCCCTTTGATAGGCAAAAACTGTTTTCTTTACCATACCTGAAGAAATAATAAGCAGTCCAAATGTAGCCAGCATTGCTGAAGCACCTAAACTGTACTAGTAGAAAGGTGATAGAAGTAGTGCTGTGCAACTGTAAATGCACTGTGCTTCCAGAAGGGATTGTCTCATCAGCTTACTGAACATGTTTTAATAGTATTTTCTTTATGAAGTTCCACATAAAAAAATTGCAGCTGAAGGGTAGCTATAATCACTCACTGTTCTTTTTCTCAGAGGTGGTTCTCAGCTAAGACATAAATTAAAATTTAAGACCAACTTTCCCTTGATTCATCACTTATTTGTGGAGTGCTTTGCTTTCAAGAGTCCAGCTATCCATCAGTGCTACTGTTATGGTTGCACAGCTCCTGAAGTATCTGTAGCCCTCCCATTTTTCATTGTAATTCAGTCTCTCTTCTAGAGTCAGTGAACATGGTAACATAAAGATGGCATAATGCGAAATTTAAGATTGACTTTTGGAGCTGCTCTCTAGCTGTGGGCCCACTGAACTCTTCATGATCTCTAAAGGGAGCCTGTAATACCTGTTGTCAAGGTCTGTGATTAGCCAGAGTTGAGAAGGAATGAATACATTTCTTGAAAATCATGCTTCAAGACCCGCAAAGTGTCCTGTCTCTGGCAGTGCAGTGCAGGAGAGCACAAGCTAGCAAACTGCAGCAGTTAGCTCTTTAAATAAATTACCATTAATTTCTCTATTTCACTTGACTAAACAAAATAAACACATTTTTACACAAATCTCTGTCTGTCTTTCCTCTTCCTACTCCTCCCTTGCAGGTCCAGTTCTCCTCCCTACTCCAGCTGCTTGTGGTGTCTCTCAGCACTTACTAATCCGAAGTGATATTTCATGAGTAAGGAGGAATGTCGCTTTCGCTACATGACCTCTGAAGTTTGTCTCAGGGTCTGACCCCTGGCACAGGCAACCCGCAGGTCCTTTCAGCACTCTCCCAGTTCACACTTGTGCCCCATATTCCCTCTTACGCCCATCTCTTGTTTTCCTCTCCGTACTCATATGCAGGTTGTGCTTTCTCCCCTTCGGAGAGCAGCAGCCAGCGTAAGAGGGAAGGCAGGTCACCTACCTTTCTGTTCTCCTCTCCTTTACTGTCTCCTTTTGGCACAAAACCTGATTCTGGTGGGTTGATCTTGGCTGGCTGCCAGGCATACACCCAGCTGCTCTCACACTCCCCCTCTTCAACATAACAGGGGGAAAGATAGAGTCAAAGAGCTCAAGGGTCAAGATAAAGACAAGAAGATCACTTACCAATTGCCATTGCAGACAAAGCAGACTCAACATGGGGAAAATGAATTTATTGCTAATTAAAAACAGATTAGGATGGTGGGAACCACCACCCCCCAACTCCATTTTCCAGGGCTCAACTTTACTTCTGCATTCTCAGCTCCTCTCCCTCCCCTGTCTCAGGGGATGGGGAATGGGGAATGGAGACTGGTCAGTCCATAATGTTTCCTCTCTGCTGCTCTTTCTCCTCACACTGGTTCCTAGTTCCAATGTGGGTTCCCTATAGACAGCAGTTCCCATCAGGACAACCTGGTCCAGGGGGTTGCAGGGAAGCCTCTGCCCTATCATGAAGAACCTCCTCTCTCCATCTCCTCTCACAATGGTGTCTGCAGAGCTGTTTCTCACACTTTTTTCCCTCATTCCTCTCTTGACCATTTTTTTGCCTTTTCTTAAACCTGTTTTCCCCAAGACACCCCCACCATGGCTGCAGGGCTCAGCCATGCCCTGCGTTGGGTTGGTTGGAGCAGCTGGAACCGACTGTGTTTGGCTCCTCACAGAAGCCTCTGCAGCCCCCAGTGCCAGCACCTGAGCACTTAGCCCATTGCCATACAGTATGGATACTGTAAACTGTGGATGGATTAAACAATCCTGAAGTTCCTGAACTTCAGATATTTGTAAGACCTGAGACTACATTGACTTTTCAAAAAATTTTGACCGAGTCCCCGTGACATCAGTCACCTGAATGTTGGTTGCCTGTGTGAAATGACACATGTAGTGTGGAGTGAAGGATCCTTCCGAGACTGACATTGGTGTTGAATCGTGTCAGAAATTAGCACAACTGGGTTTTTTTGGATGCCTACATTTTAGTTGACTGGGGTGACGTGTTCCATCCTAGTATCTCATGATGAACACCCAGGATCAGAGATCGGTCCTGACTCTTTAAAGTAAAATTTATGCTTGAGTGTTTTATGTTGTAGCCCTTTCCCTTCACTTTCCGAAGACAGGCAGAGTAAGTAACTTTAGGTTAAACTGGGTTTTTGCTGGATGTTGTATGTGCAGTTGTATCTCAGTGCTGCCAAGTGTGCTGGTGTAGCCATTGTGAGTTGACACACCTGCATGCCACTGGAAGTGCTGGTGCCCAGTTGTGGCACCTCTGGGTGACTTTGCCTACCTGTCTTCTGATTGGGGAAGCTCAGCGCAAGTGTTGCTATCCAGCCAGAGCAGGCGGATGTGTTGTGCGCCCTGATGTTGTTCTGGGACAAGATTAATTTCAGCATGCTCATATTAATCCATTATATGTCTCTTTCCAGCACAAATGGACCCCCGAGGCCTATCTCCCAGACAAATTAAAAGTGACAGTGATGATGACGACCTGCCAAATGTGACCTTAGATAGCGTTAATGAAACTGGATCTACAGCGCTCTCCATAGCCAGAGCAGTACAAGAGTAAGTATCACATTCCCAGAGTGAGATGAGTGTTGCTGAGGTGTTCCTGGGCCAATGGAGGCATTGGTGGCACAGGGGTGTCCCCCCAGCTGCGGGATGCATACCTGCCAGCATCTCTTCTGTGTAGCTTGTTCCCTTTAGGAAGAGATGGATGTATTTCTCATCTCTCTCATTCTCTTTTCCTTTCTTTCTCTCTGCCCTCATTATTAGTTTGAGTTTCAAATTGAAATTGTTTCTTCCCCTTTATTTACTTGCAAAGCTGGCAGTGATTTTATAACCTCTCCAAAGGGAGACTAGTTTACATTTACACTCAAAAACCATGAATTCTTTTCTTGACTGAAAGCGGCATCAAGAAGTTGAATCTAGTTGCTGTCAGACAGGCACCAGCTGCATTTCTCCTGTAGGACGGTGTCACTGGAAGGAAATTAGTGAGGGGCTTCAAACAGTTTTTCCATTGCTATTATTTTTCCGTGCACTTTTACTAACTGGATGGACAAATAAATTCTTAATTTAGTACCTGCATTTCTTGTTTGATAAAAAGAAACAGTTTGTCATGAACATTAGCAATTCTGTAGATGCATGTGCTTGTTCAGTCACTGTAGCAGCTGGAAGGGAACCAACTGTGAGGTAAATAAGTATTAATATCCCCATTTTATAGGTGAGGAAAATGAGGTTATGCATAAAGGTCACCCTGTAGGTCTGAAGCAGAGCTGGAAATAGAACTAGAGCCTCCAGGCACTGAAGCCTGTGCTAGACCCACAAAACACATTACTTCATCTGAAAGGCTCAAAATATGGGCCTTCTGGACATTATTAAATAAGAATGGGTATAATAAAGGCCATTAGACATTGTAATTGTATAAATTATTATAGATGCATTTGAAATGTCTTGACATGGTATCTAAAAGTACTTATTTTTGCTTTGTTTTCCTGGCCATCCGTAGCCAAAAGCGCTGATGTTTCTAAGCCATGTTTGAGGGGGGATGCTTTTTCTTTTTTAATTTTCACCAGACATGTGCTAATTGATTATCTAGCCAAGCACAGTAACTATGAACCTCAGACCTATGTTCTCCTTAGGCAGAGAGGGAGGTCTTTATGGGCCAGGCAAGGCAAGGTGTTGGCTCTCACTGTGACTGGCAAGATTCCCTTGCTTTCCCTGGTGTTAAAAGGAAGGGAAGGTTTCTTCACCAGTGACACTGTTGCTTCATAGACAGGTCCTGCAAGTATTTTGAATTTGCTAGTTAGAGCACCAGGCCCTGAAGTGCTAAGTGTTTTTTTCTCAGTTTATAGCCCACCTAATTTGCTGGACAAATAAAACAACCCATCATGATTTTGCACTAAATAGTTTGGTCTAAGTAATGAAAAAAAGAAGCATTGAGGACTACCAAATAATTCTAATATATGACTGGCAGGTAGATCCTGTTCTCTGTGATAGATATTGCTTGAACACTTAGAGAATTGGTCAAACCAGGAAAAGCTTTTTTAGCTTCTCTGCAGTGCATTCCACAGTTCATGAAGGTAAATGTGTTGAGTATTACTTGGCTGGCTCTGGAGCTTAAGAATTAAATTAAGAAATTTAATAATATAACATCAACTCATCCTTGTTACAGGTTTTATTTAAACAGTAATCTGTTAGTTTATTTCAAAAGCCCCATTAGGAAAATCTAATTTGACTGTGATCTGCAATTTGTCGTATTTACTTCATTCTCAGTCACAGACACCACACACAGAGCTGCTGAGCTGAAAAAAAAATGTTGGCACATTAGGTTGACTTCACTCAATTCATTTCTTTCTTGGTCTGCGATATTGTACCTTACAGGCAGGCACTATCCTGATTTTGGGCATCTAATATGTAGCTTAATATTAGATATTTAGCAAAGGAGTCCACTGAAAAAAAGCCCACATTCTACATACCCTTGTCGCAGAGAGGAAAGTGCCTTTGAAGCCTTCCAAAGGGAGATCCTGTGTGCTCAATTTCAGCATCTAAACTTAGCAGACAGGAATTTCCTCTGAGGATGTGTAAAGGCACCTACTGTTCTGCTGAATAACTGGGCAGCATAGGGACGTGCATAGAAAGGCTGCTTCGGTAGTCAGTGAAGCATAGGTCAACTAAGTGCCTAAGTGAGGTAGGCTGGCCCTTGAGTCTAGACGACTGTCCCACGGAGTGTGTTCTTTTCTAAGTGAGCTTATAAGCTCTTTCTTGTGAATGGCTGCACAGTTGACAACAAAAAAATAATGCAGTGTGTGGGGCTGTGAGAGATTGCCTTGGTGTCTTGCCTGTCCTTGCCTCCTGACTTTCCCTCTGTGCTGTCTGTGGGGTTCAGGATTCATCTTGCCTACACAGATACCTGCAGCTGAGCCAGTTATCTCACCTCCCTGCATAGGGGCCGGGTAGCACTTGGTATGTTCAGACTGCAATTCTTTTGACCTATTCTAGCTGTCTAATTTAGGGAGAGAGAGACACTCAAGCCTGTGAGCTCCCATTCCTCTCCATTGACTGCAGTCGGTGCAGACAGCTGCTTGGGACACACGTCAGCACTGCAGATCTCTGGTGTGAGGTGAGGGTACAGCAATCCACAGTGCCTGAAGCTGGGAGTGACAGGATAGTACTAAATGCTCCAGCATCTTCCTTTGAATCTAAGTCGGTCAGGTGGAGTTAACAAGGTTTTAACCACAAGGTAGTCAGTTTTTGGGGAGAAACTGTTGTTTTAGTACAGCCATTTTTAAGCTTGTTGTCTTGGAAATTATGCGTACGTGGCTGGGTCACAGGACAGTTTGGAATGCCTATATGAAAGCTTTGCATTTTGTGTCCTCTAAAACTGGAAGGCATCCACCAGCATTACTGCTTTGTTTCAGGTCCACTGTAGTCTTACAAGAACAAAATTCCCATCAGTAAAAATTGTGACAATGAAACACCAAGAGTCACATGTCTGGCATTAGTTCTTATTTACGCAAACAGAATGTAATTTGCTGGCATATTTGTAAAATGACCAAGTATGACTATTTTTTTCTCAGGGAAATTGCCTTCTTGCTGCTAGCTTTATATTGGCTGAGCTTCCAGACTTCTCTCTCAGTGGTTCTTTTGGAATGACTTCATAGTCCTCCTTCAGTTCAGCAAACCCAATCAATAATGTAAAGTTATAGATAAACAAAGTCATTATTTCAAGCAGGGTACTTTGGTGAAATTTCTTCTTGTGACAGTGCTGCTTTATGGCGGTTGCTATGCCTTGCGAAATATGCACTAAGAATAATTTATTAATCTCAGATAATATGCTTCAGCTGATAATAAATATTGCAGCATTATGTAGATTTCAGTGGGCTTTGCATTGTAAGCAGCATTTCATCCTTTTTGTAGTGTGTTTTACAAACTCATTTTGACATGTAGCTCTCTAACAAAGAGCAGATTTGCCTCTATATGTCTAACACCACTGATGCTTATTACACAGCTAGAATAGCATCGTCTATTCAGGGTCAAATCTCAGACACGCTCTAGAAATCTGTTTGAGGCCAAGAGAGGAGAAGGCCTTAGTCAACCCCTAGAAGACCAGTAAAACTTTTTAAGGGTCCCTCACAGAGGCAACATGTTGGTCCCTCAACCTGGCAGCCCTGATGCAGCAAGGCTCAGGAGCCATCTCCATGGTACATAGTAATGCAGACCCCAGACAAGAGATTTATCTCCTTATTTCCATGCACACTTGTGTGGTGAAATATATTATTTTACAGCATGCAGCTCTCTCTTCCCAAATATGCACTGCATAAGATCTTCTACTTGTAGAGGCTGAGAGCAGAAACAGGAGAGGCAGAGGGTGATTTTTAGCCTGAATGTTTGATCAGTGTATCAGTAAAAATCCAAAGATCCAGAAATTCTTCTTTCTCTTTTTACTTTTTTCTCCTTAGGTGTTGTAGGTAGGGAGGGAACGTCTTTGACCAAGCCATTTTTTCTTTCAAATGTCAAGGAAAAGATGAACTGTACATATAAACTGATGGTGCTTCAGGTAGCATATTGTTTTCCTGGGGTAAGGGTAAGACAGAAAATTCAGAGAGGAAGTCCTGAATACTTATCATTATAGTTGCAGTCTAATTCAGAGAAATGTCCTTTGTCATTGGGATGTGACCGTTGTGACCTTTAACATGAACTCTTCTTTGCACAGAGGTGGGTGCCACTGAGTGCTTGTATGAAAATGAGATTAGGGACTTTGACCCTACCTGTGTTCTCTTTGGCTAGGTTATGTGATGGATACATTCATGCTAATGTGATAATCTTACTTTATTTTTAAATTCTGATGGCTTCTATTACTGCAATATAGTAGGAGTTAGTTTTGGATACTGCACTAGTGAAAATGAAACTCTGCTGCAGACAGCCAGCCTAGCCACCATCCCAATGTACTCTCTTAAATTAGTATGTGTTTTTCAAGTCTGATTTTTCTCCCTAGATCTCTTTTTTTCTCTCTCCTCTTCTTCAATGTAAATCAACTTTTGTGGTTTATTTTTATCTCTCTCGAAGTTTGTATCTGTGCTTCCACCAACCATTCATTTTCTACACTGAAATAGTTTGTTTTCCTGTTTCAACTGCAATCATTACTACTATTGTGCTATTCATTATGGGGAACTTTCACCTCTGTTTTTCCTTCCACTTGCAGACAAAATACTTTGTCCCGAGTCTCCAAGAAACATAAGTGAGGGTGTTTTGGCAGTACTTGTGTGAACTTTGCTTCTCTCTCCTTTGGTACATCCGCTCTCCATGAAAAAATGGTCCTTTTAAAACTGACACACAATTGGATGGTGATTTTACAAATGGAGAATTGACTAGTACTGGTCTAGAATTTCTCAAAAAAACATTTTTTCCACTGGATGTGGAATTAATTAATTTCATTAAATTGGTCACCAATGTTAATTGGTCCAAAGTGAAATTGTGGGAATATATCTGTTTCAGTTTTACTTTTCTCATGAAGACTTCCCAAGTCTGGCATGCATTTTTCCACTGCTTTGGAGCAGAAGATT